TGATTAGGTCAGTCTTGAACAGTATTCAAGTACTATGAGTTAAGATTCATAAAAGCATGCGACTTTATATCATGATGAGATTTAACTGAATGTTGTTAGTATCTGGTTTGTCAAAACAGGTACGGGGTAACACCAGAGAACATCATCCTCTACGGTCAGAGTATCGGCACCGTGCCCACCATCGACCTAGCTGCTCGCCATGAATGCGCAGCCATCATCCTGCACTCGCCGCTCATGTCGGGGCTTCGAGTGGCTTTCCCCAACACTCGCAAAACCTACTGCTTCGATGCGTTCCCCAGGTGAGTCTCTTCCACACGCTCATGTGCACGTGCAAACGGCTCTCTCCGCCGAACTTGGTGTATCGTCCGGAATTACAGCAACTCGCCGTAACGTCAAATTGTTAATTTTACATCTGCCCACGGCTTTAGTCGTGTTGCTGTGCAAGTAGATGAGCATTGAAAATATACAAGGGTGGTTTGGTGGTGAATTAACAGGAAGTGCAAAAACTTGAATGTTGTACTCTGTCATTCAAGTAATCATTTCAGACTGAATCGAGTCGATCATCGCTGATGGTGTCCAAGTAGTGCACAAGGATAACATAGACGAATGACTCGTGAATCCTGAATCTCTGTCTCTCTGCTCTCCGTAGTATCGACAAGGTGTCCAAGATGGCATCCCCAGTGCTTGTGATCCACGGTACAGAGGATGAAGTGATCGACTTCTCCCATGGCCTAGCCATGTACGAGCGCTGCCCACGTGCCGTGGAGCCACTCTGGGTGGAGGGAGCAGGCCATAATGACATTGAACTCTATGCACAATACTTGGAGAGACTCAAGCAGTTCGTTTCCTTTGAGCTCTCCACATCCTGAGTGGGAGCAGCACACACAGGCCAGGGTTCAGTTCAACAATCTTCTCGTGTGACATTCCGGTGTCTTTGGAGACACTTGAGGGATGGCATGAAAGTGTTGAAAGTGCACCTGAAAGTGCAAGTCAACCGAGGCCGGGATAGACATGCCATTCCGATGGCTATGGTATCGCCAAACTTGATGCTTTTATCTGTATGGGTGGGCACATACCTGAAAGTGCAAGTCAACCGTCAACCGAGGCCGGGATAGACATGCCGTTCCGATGGCTATGGTATCACCAAACTTGATGCTTTTATCTGTATGGGTGGGCACAGTTTGACAACTAGGCTAGGGCTAGCTGTTTGTCAATCTCCAACCATTTCCCATTCCAGCTCTAATTCTTTCCCTTGGTCTGAACACCGCTTGTCTATTTTGTCGAACTAAACTCGAGCGTGTCACATTGACTTAGTCTTCTCACTTTATACTGTGATGCCTGCCTACTGAGAGTCTCTGACATGTTCAAACTTTAGTCACCTCAAGTAACAATTCAAATGACTGCATTTTGGGGGAGGAGGGGTTGCTAGGTTTATTTTCAGGCTCATCAAACAAATGCACTTTTTATTGTGCATCTTCTTTCAGGAATCCGTGCCCTTTTACAAGCATTACGTTTTTTTTTCTTCTTTTTTATCAGTAGTTTTTTTCTCTTTTTTTTTTTTTACACGTTTTCTAAATCAAAGTGATCTCCGACATATCAGAACTTTTATAGCCATGTTTTTTGTAGCCTTAATGGCCGCTAACCTCTGGTCTAAGTCGGTGCAGTACACATCAAAACTGTACGTGAACAAACAATGCAGTCATCACCATTGGAGCTCACATGATGTTGGGAAAAGATGGATGCCAGCCTCAACAAAATAACCAGAGATCATGTGCTGCTTAAGATTTACTGCTTGTGATAATGAAGACGGGAGTTAGTTTCCTGTTTTTTTTTTTTTTTTTTATACCGGTACCTGCTTGTTACAACTCCCTTCACTGAACTGCAACATGTGATCCATGTCAAACATTTTTTTTCTTTTCTCAGTGTACCTCTTCTACTTTTTTAACACTCCAAGCTTTGCTCTCAGACACCGTGTTGGCGACAGAGCGAAATCTGGACAGAAATGCTTTTGTTTGAGATGCACTCAGTCAAACACTGTGAAAGCCGGGAAACGCAGTGAAATATTTGTAAGCTACGACACCGAGGATGGAAGTCTGTCCATCACCGTCTTGTCAACCTGAGTCCCACACTCCCATTGGGTAGACAGCAGTCCAGCTGTAACTCCCCTGAAAAAAAATATCGCTCGCTGAGCCCCTGTGGAATTTTGCTGTTTTCTTTTAGGATGAAACTCCAAAGACATGTAAGCGGAGCATTATGACATTGCTTAGTAACTTCTCGTACTTATGGCCATTTTGTACCGGATAGCCATCTTCTTTTCATTTTGTCCTAGCATAAGAAAAAATTAAAAAGCAAAAGCCCCACAAAACTAGGAATTTAAAATGATGTATTCCCCAAATATTGTGAAGTGTAATTTTGAGAATGAGAGCGGTCGTGTTTGATGGATACTAAGCAACTGTGATAATTTCATTGTGATTTTTTAAAAAAAGTCTTCTTCTCATTGTATCTGATTGACTGGCCTTCTTTTTCTCTTTTAAATAGCTTGATTGCCCCAGTTAAGTTTTTGTAGCTGTTTTTATACTTAATGTTTCTATAATTAGTATTTTGAATGTTGCTAGATTGATATTCTATCAAGTCATACATCTTGTGGATATAGTGCCGCCCAGTCTCACTGATCCTGGAATCACTTATGCAAGTATAAAGCAAATGACACCAGAAAGAGAATGTTTTGGTCATATTAAATGTAATATGCCTTAATTGTTTTGAAATTGTGCAGAATAAAAGCAACACAATGTATGGTTGCATAAAAAAAGAATAAAGACTGCAAGAAAATGTTTGTCATGATTTATTGAGTGTTTCACTTGGTTAGAAAGGATTTGGTTAAGGGATTTCGTGTTATAACACTGGTTATGAAAAACATCACCTCACCTTAGATCACTGAGATCAAACTAAAGGCCCGGGGGCCAGGTCATTTTATGTGGCCCGTGAAAGCAAATGATGTGCATCAACTTCAGGTTTCTTGCTAAAATACCAAAATTGTAAATTGACTTTTAAGAATGTCAAGCTATTCCAAGCATTTTTTGTTACCAGTCCCACTTTTAAAATAAATATAAGATTTTAATCGTTTTTACTAACACCCGCTTTTAAAGCTAGTTATTCGCCGGTTTTGTTGTGTGACTGTAATATGAGGCAATCCTACATTTTATTTGGTTACAGTCATAATGGCCCTTCGAAGACAATCATAACTATGATGTGGCCCCTGACAAAAATGAGTTTGACACCCTGACTTAGTTGGTACCGTGAAACTTGTAGATCTATCGTATCTGTCTAAATTATGTCATACTATAGGCCGTCAGAAAACCATAATTAAATGTGGAGGTGGTGAGCCGGATGACAGTGGCGGACCTTCAGGACCAGCAAGGCCTTCTCTGCTGGCCTAAACATTCTCAGAAAAGTAATTTACTTTTCTGAGAATAACAATTTGTGATTTTTATTTCATAAATAACAAAATTATTCTCTGTATTCTTTACGTCATATTATTTCCACTTAGTCCAGTGGCTTTCAATGTTACTTTAAATAACATTGAAAGCCACTCGATAAATAACTTATTTATTATGGTAGAGTTTTTAACCAATCATATTTCAGCTAGCTTGTGTTGCCAGGTAAATTAAACTTGCTCGGGGCCTTCAGATTAAACAGAACAGGCCCCTGTGCGCTATAAGTGAACGGGCACAGTCAGGTTTCAATAGCCAA